AGAGAGAAAGAAATCATGTTTGTCTATACATGTGTGCATCATTGTGTTGACACTTTTTAGTGTGTGTATAAATGTCTGTACATGTGTGTTTGTGGTGTGTGTGTGTCCTCTCTCTATGTGCCTACAGTTTGAGGTTAATCGTCTTGTCTGTATTCAGCTCCTCTCTCTCTCAGCTCAGACCTTGTTCTTTCCCAAACCTCCTGACCTCCATCTGTCTCTACCTCTAATTCACTTTTTCTCTCTCTTCCATTCTCTGCCTCCCTGTTTTTTCTCCTTTCATTTTCTCTTTTGGGGTCTGTTTATCCTCTCTCACCTCTCTTTTCATTCATCCTCACTAAATCTCTTTGTTTGTCTCCGCCATCGCTCCGTCTCTGCCTCTCTGTCTGCCCTTTCTTGTTTTTTTATCTCGGTTTTTGGTTTGTTTATTTATTCTGGTTTTCCTTCTGTATGCAAATATTTCCATATTGCTTATGACCCAAAGAAGACCCAAATGCCTCATTCTAGTCTCTCCTTTCCTCTATTAATACGGTCTTTCTCTGTCTGTTCCCTTTTCTCTCTCTCTCTCTCTCTCTCAGGGCCAGAGAAGGGCAGATGTGTGGCGTCAGAGTATTTCACCGAGCCAGAGATAGAGATCACGACAGAAAATACAGCCAATATACTCAGTAAGTCACATCCCCACATACATACAGATCTGAAACTGTACTAAAAGTTAAATCCAATATACCTGGCACTGCTTGTTGTAGAAATTGAGCTCCAGTATAGAAATTTGGTCATCTTTTCCTCCAAAAAAAGATAGAAATATTGTTTATTCTTACATTATTATACAATTTATGTGAGGTTCTTGAGGTTTACTAGGTGCTGGACCTCACATTTAAATACAACTTCAGTACACAAGAATCAGCACGCTTATATTCATTTCCTACTAACAACAAGGCAAAAGCATTAAAGAACACTTCGAAGAAATCCAGTATTATACTTATAATATTATATATATATATATTCAAGTAATTAGTGGCAATGTAACATCCTTAAATAAATAAAAGTTTATTAACCATATAGAATGGTCTACAGATTCTGAGGTTAAGAAGGGAGAGTGAGGTTCTTAATGTCTAAAGCCACCTGTGAAGAGCTTTATAAAAATTGAAAAACACCAAATAAACAAGATTTATTTCTATTTTACTCTCCGTCTGTTTTCTAACTATGACAGGACGAGGCAGGAGCGAATTCACACATAGTAGATGAGATTTAATAGGGATCAGGGGTTATTGATGTCTAAGAAATGCATGATATTCAAAAGTGAAAGCAGTCATTATGCAGAATGGACATCTCAGAATTACTATAATTACTGATGCATTAACGTGACTTCAACTTGCAGCTGATGTAATATAAAAAAGTATTTTTAAACTGCTGGGTAGCTTGTGAATTTCCCCCCAGGGATTAATAAGATTGAACTTTTTTATGAACAGTCAGATTCTGCAGAGTAAGTGACTAAAGTTGGAAGTTAAATATTGTGAAAAGTAGCAGAAGAGTTAAATAATAAATAAATTACATGTACCTTAAGTACAGCACTTTTCGTTTTGGTTAAACTGAAGGAAATGGACTGAGACAATGATCCTGCTTCTTAATAAACCACATAGAAACCCAGTGAATTATCATAAACACTGCTGAAATCAGTCAGACAGTTTCCCGCAGGTCATGACATTTTGAAGATACATGGATTTCACAGGACAACAATGATATGTATGCCTATTATAAATTCACTGCATTCTGTGACGGTAACTGATGCAGTTTCTTACAATTTTGTTTGATTTCACAACTGAAAGGTTACCTGAACCAACAATGGCCAAAGAACCTGTAAAGAACTATATATTTTTTTAAAGAACACTGTACACTAAACTTTTTTTTGTTTGATCAAACAGTAAATAAATGTCGAGAGCTCACCGGAGTTCCCCACGGAGCGGTTTTGTCTCTGAGCTATTTTAATGATTTAAGATGTTGACACTGTGAACTGGCTTCAAAGTGCTTGGTTTGTTCTGTTTCTTTGAAGTAAAGCACAAACTGTGGTTGGGGACACCAAGGGAGGGGAGGGTGGGACATTTGGTCCGTTAAATGCTAGATAAATGTCCTCAGGTAGACACTCAAGTCATAACACTGTGGTGGCATTGTGGGAGAGGTTGCTGAATAAATAATAACATAACCTGGAGTGAGCTCCAACAGACCTCTGGTTGTAAGTATGCAGTGGAAATTTATACGAACTGGAACTCAGCATTTTTGTTTTTTTTAAATAACCCTGTCATCAGAAAATAGGTATTTTATTTATTCTTCTGTGTGTATTTTTTCTACATTTTGCATGTCATGTTTTGCTAGGTAAACACTTGAGTATCTCCCAGCTCTTGGTCTAGTAAAGTTAATGCACTTAACCTTCCAACAAAAAAACATGGTAGATTTCTTTTAGGTTCATTTCTAGAATTATAAGAAAAGGATAAGTCAGTGTCTTCACACTAGCATGCTACAAAGCTAATGCTAGGTACCAACAGAGAATAAGTAAGTAAGTAACATACAGATACTCATTATTATTATATTCTCAAAAGAAAACAGTGTTAAATGCTATGCATCACAATGTAGATTGCAACAACAAATCAAACACGTTTGCAGCTAATTTGAGTCTGACTTTAAAGCTACACTAATTAATATTTCCATATAATCTAATCTAATGATGTAATGAGTATGTGTCATATGAAAATGGCCACTTGTAGTGATAAACCCACATAGAAATATCCCTCAACTCTTTGAGGATTGTTTTAGGGTCATTCAGCTCATTGTTTTGGTTTGACATGAATACCGTTTAGCTCCAGTCTTTCAAATTGGTTGGGTCAAAAAAGCTCAAATAAGGGTTGAAAACGTTAGCGACTAGCTTGTGAACATTAAGCAGGTAGATATTTCTCCCAGGAGTTGGTGAACACCAACACAGAGCTAAAAGAAGAGTGAACATTGGACTCCAAATTAATGATAATGTTGATCTGTATTTGCTTTTGTTTCCTTTACTGTAAGTTTATAAGTTGATATGTCAATGTTGTGTTTATAGCTAACACTAACATTATTGCCGCTTTAAGGATTAAGCACCAATTATTTTTTTTTAAATTATTTTAGCCAATTAATATATTTTAGCATTGTATTTAATATATGCTATAAAAGTTGTGATTTCAGTGCTTTAGTAGTTTTATGGCAAACAAGTTAAACTTTGAGAAACTCTTAAGTTTTGAAAAGGAACCAAACCAACTAATATGTGCAATGACAAGGTTTTATTCATGTAAGATATTTTTATACAAAGCCAAATAATAAGGAGTAGGAGAGATTGAAGCCAAATGCATAAAACAATTTCAAGAAATCAAGGCAAAAAACACTGAGAACTAAACACTGGGAACAGCTGGAGCTGGGCTGAGGCACAGGTGAGACTAATCAAGCAGACACAGGTGACACTGAAAACGGCGGGAAAAAGATGCAGACAGGAAGTGAAGTGATAGTGGAGGAGACAGGTGATGAGGTCTTTTAACATAAAACGGGAAATAAATGAACTAAAACCCAAAACCAACAACAAATTACAGATTTAAAAAGTTGAAACTGACAATTTTGGACTTGCCAGGCAATGATCTTAGCAGTGGAGGATGAGGTGAGGGATCAGTCCTCTGGTTTAAAGTTGTTTTGATCATTGATGAAAGAAGATAAGAAAGTAAATCATTTTAAATGCAACATTATTGTAAAAATACACAAAATAACCGTTTTGCTGCCTTTTTTAATGAAATAGATGAATAAATAAAAGATCAAAAGAAAAGTTTCTCACAAATAACTTTGTTAATATTCATAGTTTGTTATATCAAACTTACTCACATCTTTGCCTCAAGAAGCAAGGTAATAACATTTTGAATTATTTATGATTCACTGTAAATTTGCTGCATTTTAGGCCAGAATACAATTTGCAGAGCTCGGTCACTCCTTTCAGTTCTTCATTCATAAACATCGTTCTTCTCTGCATGATCGTATTTTTAATCACAATCACGTCTGTCCTTCTCTTGCCCTCTCCTCTCCAATTCCTCCCTTTCCTGCAGAAATGGTTCGTACTGCCACTCCCTTTCCCATGGTCTCCCTGCTCTTCGTATTCACAGCCTTCGTCATCAGCAACATTGGACACATCCGGCCGCAGCGCACCATCCTCGCCTTCGTCTCCGGAATATTCTTCATACTGTCAGGTACTGTGCACATGGAGGGAGCATGTATACCACAAATCTGTTTGTCAGAGAAAAGTGTGACGGTGTTTCTTCTGCTCGGTTTAAAGTTTTTGAAGTCAGAAGAGACATCCTCAGCCCCTGCAGAGTGAGTCTTGTTCGTAAAGTGAAATCATTCACACAAACCTTGCACTGAAACAACGTTTGCAAACAATCAAAAACTCAGAGAACACAAATGTTATACTCTTGTGGAACAACTAGCGACTCCAGGCTTTTCTTGTCACGGTTTGTTTCCATATTTTTCAATTACTCCGCTGTGTGTCGTAGTCATTGCAAAGCGGCCTGGGAGACAAACCTCAGTACACAGTTTGTGGAGAACAAAAACATTTTCTAGGAATGCAAAATGCGTCTTGCTCAGTGTATTTATGCCAAAAGTCAAATCAAATGAGCTCAGTCTAGCTAATGGGACAGATCCACCTCCTGCGAGGAATGTCTTTTGGTCTTCTTGGCTGGACATCTACCAGCTGTTCTCAAAGGTTTATGATCAAATAATAAAACATGACCGTGAACCGTCCTCAGCTGCTCTCGGGGCACTTTTTCTTTCCTCGCTTTAAATTGCAGGCTTTCCAGTTTGAGATGATGATGTTGAAGACTTAAAACTTGTCCTGTTACTACAGATAAAAAGGCTTTAGGGAGAGTGTTATATCAGAGATTTAAGAATGGCTGAGGTTACATTTTCTGGTATTACTTTTTCACGTCTCTGTCCCCTCACTGTATATTGTCTACGTCCTGCAGCAACACAAACAGTTTGGAGCGCGCCTTTTTTTCTTTTCTTTTTTCTTTTAGCCAGTCATCCTTGAAGAACAGGATGTATTTGTTCAAGTACAAGCAGATTACATCACAGTAACATGTAATATTACCACTATGTGTGCAATGATGAGTAACACCTTGCAGAAAGTTACTGTAGTCCTACTATAATGCAGTAAAATGTCATTTAATCAGTAAAGTGCAGACAAAGGGTGTGGTATAAAGACTGCCTAGTGTAGTGTATATGAAAAAAGACATTTTAAAGGGTCGTAAAGAATTAATTTCATAATAGGCCAAAACACATTTAGACATCAAGGTAAATAAATTGGCAATATTTGACTGAAGAGCTAATCAGCAAATGTCAGCAAATACATTTTGTGGAAACATTACAAATGAAAAGATGAATGAATGAATCTGAACAGGATTAATTGTGTTTGAAAAAAATGGTGCAGGCATTTTTTTTTATCTTTTCAGCACCTGCACAGATTTTATGGATATCCATGTGCTAATTTGAAGGATGAAATAGGATGCACTGACTTTTTCAGAAGTTATCAAAACAGCACCCTTTCCTTAAGAAACTGTTTCAGGAATCTAAACCTAACAGCATGTGGAATGCAGTACACAGACCCTGGTCTGTGCTTTGTCCATCCAACCTTCCAACCTAACCTCCTCTTTATCACTTCTATGCAGTATAAGGGGTCACCCTTTATTGATTTGAAAAAATGTTGCCAGGCAGCTGTATGTTCCCTTCCAAAAATGTAAATCAGATTAATATATAAAGGTACTTTGTAGGAGACAGAGTTAGAGTTGGAAAGAAGTCTGTCCGAGTGATGAACACTCTCTGTTACCTAAACAACTATTGCTACAGGACCCTAGTTCATCAGGACTGTAGAAGCAGGAAAAAAGACTGAGGTATGGTACAAGACCTGTGTGAAAGTGCTGAACTCCTCCCTCACCTGTCGGCTTAAATAAGATGTTAAAAAGCAGCCGAGCAGAAGAAAAGTGAGCTTGTTAAAAGTCAACATTCTTCAAGGTTAATGATAAAAAGACAGCTCAGTGGATGGAAGACTCACTCTGCAGCTCTTCTTTCCTTTTCCCAGTTGACAGCTTGTCAGACCTTACCTTGTTCTTGCTGCTAGCTGAACAGTGAATGGGATTTAATTCCGAATAATTGCTCTCTGCCGAGGACGCTACAGGGCAGCAGCGATTTGATGTTTCGCTGCAGGTTGTTGGTAGAAAGTTTCAACTTAAACCAAACAGTCTGGAAAGCGACTTTGTTGTAGTTTTATATTTCAATCAAAAACTCTGTAATGAGGACGGCTGGTTTTCTTCAGGATGACACCTTTTTGGTCCGGGCCAAAAATCTCCCATAATCTCACTGCAGTAAGTGGACTGGACACCAACCGTCAGTGCAGTCACACTATTCTAGCCACGTAGCTGAAAGCTTTAAGTGCTGAGTGGAAAGTTACTGGATGAAATGTTTGATCACACTTATTCTTTTTATAGACACACATGGCAGTCTATTTAAGAAAAGGGAGACTCACCTTCCCAATGTATTAAATTCATCAGAAATGATGTGCACATAAGTGGGTGGATATACTTTGGTAGTCTTTGATTTGGGGCTCTTTTTCATGCTTTTGTCAGGTCCCTTAGTTCCAGTGAAGAGAAATATTAATGCAACGTCATACAATAATATTTTAAACAACAGGGAGCGCCTGACTGTGGTAACAGTTTGTAGAAGGCCCTTTCTTGTTTCAACATGACATTGTCCCCCATGAACAAAGCCAGCCGCATAAAGAAAGTGTTTTCCCAGTTTGGTGTTGAAGAACTTGACTGGCCTGCACAGAGCTCTGACCTCAACCCCATCCAACACCTTTGGGGTGAACAGGAACAGCGACTATGAGCCAGACCTTATCACTCAGCATCAGTGTTGGGCCTTACTAATGCTTTCATGGCAGATTGAGAACAAATCCCTGCAGCCAGTTTCAGCATCTGATGAAAAGAAGACTAAAACTAGAAGAGTGGAGGCTCTTATAGCAGCAGATTAATGCCCATATATGCATACACACATATTAATGTAATAAGTGTGCAGATACCTTTTGCGTAGTGTTGTTTGTCCCAACAACAACCAGGTAAGCTTACTAGAAAAGGGAACATCATTTTGAGTTTTTGCACCTATACATATAACCACAGCAGAATTAAAGGTATTCTGTGGAGTTTATGGCAACCAGTAGTGTTATGGAACCGTGTTTTTGTGAGTAAGTCCCCATTGTGTGCATGAGTATGCAAGTGGCAAAATATATTCCTAACAATTGCTTCTACTAAACGACAGTCTGTTGCAATAACATGCCAAAATAAACAAAGCCAGCAAACGGGAAGAAGCTGACTGTAAACAGTGCAGGTTTTGAAATATTTTTCAAAAGTGGGTTTGCAAATATTTTATGATAAAGAAACAGGTTTGTTTGGCCTCAACAACACTCAGAAAAACCCAAAACTAGGCACGAAAATCTGCAGACAAAAGGGTCTAAAATAGTCGTCACAGACAAACGACAATAGTCCTTATCTGTGAATACGATGGCCACTGGAAATTAATTGATTGACATTAATTCAAGTTTACCACAGCCACTGGCAGTGAAAGCAGCAGACCTTTCAGTGCCACTTTTCAAGCCTATAGGTGGTGAGTGAGTGATAGATTTTCATTATTACTGTCAGAAGTGTTCCACCACAGTACTCCATCAGTGTACTATAAGCTTGGAGACGAGCTGGTCACTAAGACTCTAAACAAGCTAAGTATAAACTGTTAACAGGCCTGATGTGCTTCAAATGAAGTGAAAAAGACAAAGAAAAGTTCCTCTCACAGAACAGTTTGCACCTGTAATCTGTTTCACTGAGGATTAACATATGACTAACCAACATCCCCTCTGTCACGTTGCTGAAAGACCAGAGCTGTGAAATCGTTCACTGAGCTTTCTGTTTCGTTTGTATCAGAGTCCTGTTGGGAAGGAGAGTCGTTGCAGCCAATAGGGTGACATCACTTCCTCGTGTCGCTGCAGGACAGCCGGGTGACGTTTTCTGGTCGGTTACCTCGAGTGCAGGGTCGAGCGTTCCACTGATGAAGCGGTTGTTGGGTTTCTTTCTCTTTTTTTTGGACCTCGTTAGTCTCTCTCTCTTTCTCTGAGCAGACAGGATGACATCACTTTCCCATTTCATCCTTTTATTTTTTTTTGGATGAGATACCTCACAGATGCTAGCTTAGCATGGTGGACTGCTGACTGGACATTTGGACAGACATGACAACCATTGTGTCATAGGAATGTCACCGAGCCAAGATGGAGAAAAACACATGCATATACATACGCCGGGAATTCATTTGTTTTTCACCCATTCACATACAACGACATTCAGATCTGGACATACAGCAGATTCAACACCTAAAGAATACATGGCCTACACATGCATACACACACATTTAAAATCAGCATTTACACATTAAAAATGGATGACATTAGGTTAACTTGCAATTTTAATTTAAGTTTATTTAAATATTATATTGGTATTATAATTAATAATTGTATTATTTGATTAAATACTAATATTATTAAATTATAATTAATAATATGATATTAAAAATGAACAATTCACATAGAAGCATGAATTTCACATGTCAAAAAAATAATTTCACATGTCGAAAAAATATTTCACATGTAAAATTACACCATTTCACATGTGATAGGTCAATTTATATATAAACATAGTGTATGTAGTGTAGGGTGACAAACTTTCACAAATTTGACAACACCTAAATTAATACACAAACAGAGAAACACACCAAAACAGCTTTGGCAACAGCAGTTTGCAAAGACAAGAGATCATGATTCTTATTTTTAAAAGAAAAAAAATCACCTTACAGCAGAAAAAACAGAATAAACCTGCATCGCTTTTATAACAGGAATGTCTCTCTCAAAAGGTAATTTCAGCATCGAGTAATTGCTGTGCAGCTTCTGAGAAGAAGAAAAAACACATTTCCTGTCAGAAATAGAGATTTCTCTCTGAGAGTTCACGAAGAAAGAACTGAGCCCAGAAATCAATGATTGCCATTTTCACCTATGAAACAGCAGAATGACAACGCTTAAGCTGGATTTTTTTTTTTTCGCACTTATTTTTTCTCGTTGTTTACTATAAAACAGAACGTTTTTCAAAAGGTAGCACAGCAATTA